AATTGGGTTTAGATTTGATTATTAGTTTAAGGATGCAAGAAAACTTTGCTGAGTTTGAAAAGAGTGTTATATTTAGGAACTCTTGATATATACTATATAAGTTTAATTTTTTAAGATTTACTAGAGCTTTAATTAGGTAATCTGGCTGATAAAGTTATTAAAGAAACTGTTTAAGGGACTTTAGATTGTTTAACTGTAAACTGAACTTAAGGTCTTGAGTCTTAATATATAGTCTTTTATGTGCACAAAAGCTGTCCTTGACATAAGTGATATTGACAAAAAGGTAGTAAGAGTAGTAAGTTAGGGGTGTTAAGTAGAGGAGACAGTAAAACTTATCCAAGCAATTATAATCTTGTCACTACTGTCATTGTATTTCTATCTGCCAGCTTGTTAGCCTGGCCTCAGTGATTCACAGAGGAGAAGGAAGGAAAAGAAAGGGGAATCAGAGGAGCTCCAGCTTTCCTGTGGAATTTGAATGCCCTCTTCTCTCCTGCTTCTTTTTTTGTTATCCTTTTCTTCCAAGGTAGATATGAGGAACAGAAGTGGTCCTGGCAACAGATAACTTTAAATTTTCTGGCTTACCCAACTTGTGTAGTTTTTTGCCTTAAATTCTATTTTGTAGGCTATTAATATAGCTTCACCAACTCTCTTTTGGGTATTTGTTTCTTTTTCCGTCCTTTGCCATTTTACTGTTGGGTTAGTTTCATGTATTTTCATAAACCCTTGTGGAATATTGTGATGATAACCCTTTGTAGTCTGTTAGAAATATAGTTTTTCAAGTCTATTGTCTTTGTTTACGGGATCCCTTGTCATGCAAAAGTTTTAAAATGTTTTTTTGTAGTCAGATTTGTCTTTCTCTTTTAGCTTTTGAGTTTTGGTCTTGATTAAAAAGACTTCCCTTAACCCTAGACTGTGGTCTCCTAGAATATTTTTAGAAAAGAATATTATTGTGATTCAGCCTATCATCCATGAAATGAGAAGATTGTACTGGATCAGTAGTTCCCAAATGTAGCCAGTCAACAGAATCACCTGAGGAATTGTTAAAAATTCATATTCTGCAGTCCCACCCCAGTTTATGAAGCAACGTCTTCGATGTGGGAGAAAAGATATTTCAGTATAAAATAAGTAAGGAAACCCTGTGGCATTAAATTTGAATTGGAAATATCAGTATAAACTCATGGTCTTTTTTTTTAAATCCCCAGCTTTGTCCACTGAAATGGCCTAGAGGTAATGATACCCCAGTAGCAGTGAGGACACCTATTGCTCAGATAGGCACAAAAAGAAAAAGCCTAAAAAGAAAACAAGAGTCCAGTTGGGTAAATTTGATTACGGATTATATGTTGATGATGTTATAGAACTGTTAATTTTCTTAGGTGTGAAAATGGTACTGTTGTGAAAATTCTTAGGATATGCATTGCTGAATGAAGTACTAGGGAGGAAGTGTTGTAATGTCTATAACTTTCAAGTGATTCAGAAAAATATGTATGTATAGAGAGAAAGAGTACAAATGAGGCAGGATGATCACTGATGAATCTAAGTAAGTGATATATAAGTACCAATTGTAATGATTTTCCAGTTTTTCTCTAGATTTGAAAAGTATCAAAATAAAAAGTTGGGGTGAAATCTTATCTATACTTCAGAGCCCAACTCAGATTTTGTCTCTTTTTGAAGTCTTCCTTTTCCCAACCACACTAGCTAGAGGTGACTTTCTAATATGAATTTTAAGAATTTTTATGTTTATCTTATGGTCCCAAACCTGAATGCATATGAGAACTGCCTTAGAAGTTGTCTTTTTCTTTTTAATTACACATTTCCAGACCTCAGTGTAAGCCTACAGAGACAGACTCTCAGAGGATAGATAGGTCTAAGAAGCTGCTACCACTGGTCTGCACTACTCATTCTGTATGTATTACTTAAGTAATTAAGATATTACTTATCTTTTTCATATATCCCCACCTAACAAGTTTGGGAGCTGAGGACCAGCCCTTGAAAGTGCTGCTCAATTCTTTGTGTCCCTAGATGCTGGTACCATGCCTTTTACATAGTAGTAATTTTTGTAACTATATGTCGATAATCTGAAGAAATTACCAGGAACTTCTCTACAGCTTTAAAAGAATAAAAGACACCTAGCTGATAAAAGTGTTTAGTCAGCACAGAAGAAAGATCCAGTTATATCATTAGAAAGCTGTGTAGTGTTTAGTTCTAAAACTACGGGTTTGGTTTACAGAAATAACATGTTTCTTATCAATAAATGTTTAGGATTAAAGGTTAATAGTGGTTTCATAATTGAGTTTCATTACCTCTTCGAGAACCTGCTTTGCTTTAATCTGGTGAGTGGTCTTATCATCATATCTTGGTTTTTGGGGGGCGGGGGGGCAAATGGCCAGTAAGGCGATCCAAAGTTACTGTTTAGGTACCTTGGTGTTACAAGGCTGTGCTTTAATGAACTGGGCTAACTGGCCAGCCTTTTTTTTTTCTTTTTTTCTTTTTTTGGCTACTGGCCGGTACAGGAATCTAAACCCTTGACCTTGGTGCTACAAGGTAATGTTCTAACCAATTGAGCCAGTTGACCAGCTCATCATCATATTTGTTGGTCATCTCATAGACTTCCTGGGAGATGTGAGCAAGTCATAAGAAATGTCCAGTGATTCTAATCAAGCCTGACAAACTTGATATGAATAAATTGCTGCTGCTACCTATATCCACCCAGCATGGGGTTTTCCCTCCCATCTACCCAGAATGTTTAAGGTTCTCAAAGGTGAAATTTTGCAAGTACTGATGAAAATGAATGACTTTTTAAATGACCACATTAAAAAGAGCTATCATATTTCACTTATTGGATTAGCAAAGGTGAAAAAGACTAAAACATTGAGTGTTAGTAAGGGTTCTGGAGAATGGATATTCTGTGCTGCTGAAAGGAATATAAATTGATATATTTATAGAGGACAATCTGGCAGTACATATCAAAACTTAAAAATTATTGGGCCGGCCCGGTGGCGCACTGGATAGTGCGCCGCTTGGGAAGCGCAGCGGCGCTACGTCCGCCTTGGCCGTACAGCAGATTTGAATTGGAAATATCAGTATAAACTCATGGTCTTTTTTTTTAAATCCCCAGCTTTGTCCACTGAAATGGCCTAGAGGTAATGATACCCCAGTAGCAGTGAGGACACCTATTGCTCAGATAGGCACAAAAAGAAAAAGCCTAAAAAGAAAACAAGAGTCCAGTTGGGTAAATTTGATTACGGATTATATGTTGATGATGTTATAGAACTGTTAATTTTCTTAGGTGTGAAAATGGTACTGTTGTGAAAATTCTTAGGATATGCATTGCTGAATGAAGTACTAGGGAGGAAGTGTTGTAATGTCTATAACTTTCAAGTGATTCAGAAAAATATGTATGTATAGAGAGAAAGAGTACAAATGAGGCAGGATGATCACTGATTTAAAAATTATTTATACCTTCCTATAGCAATTTTACTTCTAGGAATTTATTCCAAGGAAGTAATGGGGTAGATGCCCAAAGATATGCATCGTTTATTTTTTATTTATATTTTTCTATATTGACTGAATTTTTTTTCAATGAGCATATTTTGATTTTACAAGCAATAACAACCAATAATGCTGGTTTTGTGGGGGGTTTTTAATGGAAAAAATAACCATTTAATCAGGATTTTTGCATTACTATCATAACTCCTACTTGGTAAGAACTGCAGCAGCACTGACCCTGGAAACTATTGGTTTTCTCTTTTAATTTTGACAAACAATAGAAGGTATTCTAGAATTGGTAATGGATGAAAGACTAGATGGTTTGGGGCAGGGAAACAATGTGATGGGATGGAAAGAATATGGGAATCCAGGGACTGAGGTTTAAAATCTGACTCTGCTTCTTAGCTAGAGTTGTGATTGGGGCAAAGGGCTAACCTCTCTGAGGCTTGATTTCCCCTGTTCCCCAGTCAGTAAAGTGAAACTAATTAAAATATCTATCCTGGGGTTGTTTTTGGATCAAATAAGATTAGGTTTGTAAAAGTTCTTTGTAGACGTACAGGGCTCTCTGGTGTGGGAATAGTAACAATATTATTTTTGAAAAAGATTGTGCCCTTGCACTATTAACAGTCTGAAAGCATTATGCTTTGGAGGTACAGCCATGGTGATTGTCCCACCCCCATTCCAACTGGTTTTTAAAAAGCTAAGTAGTTTAATGGTAGGATATGGAACTTAATGGTTAATGGAACAGTGATTTGGGTAAATATCTTGTTTTCTTCAGAAATAATTGATAAGAGGACATTGCAAATAAGAAAATACATATTTAGTGTCTAGAGATAATTTTAGATTCATATTCAAGATGATTATGTTCTAGGGAGAAACCAGTGTGTCCTTTTTTAGGTCCAGAGCATATGTGGAGATAGTGTCACTATCAAAGATTTTATGTAAATTTTCCAATATGGAGTGATTATGATGCTAAATAACTTTGCTATTCCAGGTCAGCAAAATCAAGACTTAACAAAATGTGGGTCTCCATGGGAGGCTTGTGAAATAAATAACAAAATATATACTCGTATAGCACCTTTAGAGTATATAAAATGCTTTCACATAATGTGTGGAAGTGAAGCTCCAGCTGGCTTGCTGGATGTTAAGTTTTCTCTGCTTCACAGCTGCACAGTGTGAGTTCCATTATTAATATATTTTTAACTCCTGGTTCTTTTCTGAAGCAGTTTCTTCAGTTACTGTTTAGGTGTGCCAGGGTGTGGTGAACTTTTGGTTCTTGTAATTGTACATTGCTGTGATTTTCAGGATTGTGTTGACCAAAAAATAGTTTTGTACCAATAGAAAACTATATTGTTGAGCTGGTCGGTTAGTTCAGTTGGTTAGTGTGGTGCTGATAATACCAAGGTCTGAGGTTCGATCCCTGTACCAGCCAGCAAAAAAATAAGAAAGAAAGAAAGAACTATATTGTTGAAGTGCTTTGCTTATTTCTTTTCTTTTCTTTTTTTTTTCCTTAGATCTGTTCTGAGGATCAAGATTCATTTGGGGGATGGTTACAGAATTGAACCATGGTAGGCAATGAAAATATCATTCAAAGTTGAATGAAACATCCATCCTGGAATGGAAGTAGACTCTTATTGTTATGTTTAAACTAGCTGCTCTGGTGTATGTTGAAGAATTTAGTGTCAGTTTATTTCTTAGGTTTCATAGGTCAAGAGATTTTTGTTTTATCTTTCTGGGACTATAGAGGAATTGGTGTTTATTAGGGTACTTTGGTACTAGATTAGGTGACTTCTTAAAGTATGTGCCATTAAACATTAATTCTGGGAGAGTTTCTTGAAAAAAGTAGTTCTGAGGCCAGATGCATTTGGGAAAACTCTGCAAGCTGGATCTCTTGTAGTACACTCTGATCTTGTTAATAGATAAGTTAGAAATAACTTAAATATTCATAGATAGGAGAGTTGAATCATAGAATACTATACAGCAGTTAAAAATGAATGAACCAGGCTGGCCTGTGGCTCACTCGGGAGAGTGTGGTGCTGAGAACACCAAGGCCAGGGGTTCAGATCCCATATAGGGATGGCCGGTTAGCTCACTGGGTGAGCGTGGTGCTGACAACACCCAAGTAAAGGGTTAAGATCCTCTTACCAGTCATCTTTAAAAAAAAAAAAGAATGAACCAGATCTTGATCTTTCAACATGGATGGTTCTCAAAAACAATTTAGAAAAACATTACAGAATGAGAATAATGCATATCGTATATAGTTTGTATGTTTTTTAAAAACTATATGCTTTCCTCAGTATATCTGTGTAGAATAAATGCATTTCTATAAAGTCTAAAAGGATTCATACCAAGCAAGTGGTGATAGTTACTTGGAGAAGTAATTAAGTTTGGGAATGGTGATCAAAGGGTCCTTTTTTGCCTTATCTGTAAGGTTTGAATTTTCTTAGAAGGGAATATATTCATGTATTATTTGTAATAAAAATTAAGTACAAATGTCTGTTAAGTGATCAGAAAGTTACTTTTTTGCCCTTCTTGGAGATGTCTATCCTGCTGATTTCCAAGTACATCTACTTATTAATTCACTGCATACAAATTAAACTGAATTTTGAGCCCTAGTACTATAAACTAGGAAGGAACTGTTTTCACTCTATTCCATTATAATGAAAATATTTTTCCTTACATTATAAGGATTAAATGAAGAAGCTTATACAATCCAGTCCATGCAAGTTCTTAAGAGACAGGCTTATTCAAGCTTATTGTGTGTTGGTCCAAGAGATCTTTTGGAGAGCAACAAAGAAAAGTTTGAACTTGGCTCTTGAGCAGCTAGTGAAGAGTGGAGAAGCAGCAGCTATAGGTAGAGTAGAACATTACGGTTCAAAACCAATTAAGCTTAAAGAAGTAGACTTCCTTTTTGTTGGCAATGCTCTTTACAGTTCCATGGACCTTCTTTATCTTGTTCTCTAGACTTGATTTTGACATCTGAGTAAAACTGGAAGGCACTGGTTGTTCTGTATGACTTACTGATCACTAGGGATCAGTTTTAAGTGGCTGCATTTTTTGTAATGTAAGTATGTTTTTTCTTTAAGAAAGAGTAATCCTGAAAAAGCTGTAGCCACATATCAGATTTTCTTTCGTACCTCCACTTTATTCCTTCCGTTTGCTTTAAGTTGTAAGAGCCATTGACTGAGAATAAAGATTTCATCAAGTGAAAATATCTCTTCTTTAAAATGATTTATTTTCAGGCACATGTATTGATCCATCTTTTCAAAGTGGTTATTTTTATATTTCATCCAAGTTAAAACAGGGACTAAACTGATCAACTTTTTGTTAAAAAATATTTTACCACGGGTTATGAAGGATTGAAAATTCACATTAAAGGTGTTTATTGGCACCCACTACATGCCTCTTATGTCAGGAAATTCAGACTATAAAAACATGTTACTGTCCTTGGTGAGCTTCCTGCTTCTTAAAATATTGTTAAGCATGCAGTCCGTTTGTATACAAATTATTGATGATTTAAGATGATCCTTCTACGAGATTGCCAAGTGGAAATTAATAGAATATAAACCGTGAGTGTTAAGTAGAATGAACTTCAGGAGTAGTTGGGCAGCCACTGAAGATGGAAGGCTTTCAGGGTGCAATTAACCAGCAGAAAGGTATGAAGCCCCCTGCATGGCTCCTGTGGCTTGTCCATTCTGCCTGGTCAGTGAAGGTCTTGCACATGGCAGTCACTCATTGTGTGTTCATGAGGATTGTGCACTGCTTGGGGGAGAGGTTGATATGGTCAGGTTTACAGCCACTGTGATTTTGAGGTGGGCTTTGGGAATTGAGCATAAAGTACAGAGGTACAAAAAGTGAAAGAAAGGGGAAAATAAAAAGGAAAACTTGAATATTACAAGTTTGCTTTTTTTTTTTTTAAATAGCTCAGGTGACTTCTCTCATACTGGCATTATAGTTATGATTGTTTTTAATTTTCTGGTGCTTAATTGTTGCAGGAGTGCATGTGTCAGTTTTCTTTAATCAAATAATTGGACTCTTCTCCCTTTGTGTCTCTGTAGTATAAACAACACCAAATTATTGCACCACCATTTAATATTGTAGAATTGACCATGAATGTGGCCGAAATCAGTGGATTTGATGTCTGTTTATAGATAAATCTTAAAATTTTTTTTTGTCTTTTTTTTTTTTTCGTGTCCAGCAACGGATCGCAACCCTCAGTGTCGCGCCCGTACCGGACCGGCAACGGGATCGCAACCCTCGGTGTTGCGTCTGCACCTCGCTCAGCCAGTGAGCGGGAACCGGCCTGTATGTGGGATCCGAACCCTCGGCGGG